CAGCAAAAACCTCTATGGGGCATGGGAGTGTCTTGTCTGCACTCCACTCAAGTGACACATCCCTTCCAAAAATATATTAGATAGTGATGCATGCCAAGGTTGTTTACCCAGTTCATGCTCATCTTTATCACATCTTTTACAAACTGCCTAGGAGTTTACATTTACTTTCTCATATATGGAGCATTGCGCTGCACATGTCTACTACAGTATTGTCTGTTTCCATGTGCGGGAAAATGCAGGTATACAGGAGGAACCTGTATTGAGTCTTTAATCAGACAGCAAGCCAAAATTTAGAATAAAATAAAATGCATTTGTTACAGAAGACAAAGATAAATATTAATGTTGTTACAGATGTAAAACGATTATACCAGCAATAATTGAACTTTTTCCAGAAAATATAAATTACGTAAGTAGGTTCACATTAAAATACAAACTGAACCGAATTTCTCATCCCCACCCAAGGGAGGGTTTTTTATAGAACAAAAGTGGGAGAAAGGTCTATACACCAGCATCTCATGGGGATCTTAGTTTCCTACCCAGGGTGATGAGTGCAGGATTATGTAGTGCACAAAAAGAGCTGCTTGTGTGTCTGGTGGTGAGCTCTAAATCTTAAGTAATGCTAATGAGTGCTAATGTGACTACTGGTGCTGGTAGTGCCTCAGTCATAAAGGTTTCTTTGTCAAACCAGATAAAATCATGATGTGTCTTGGGTGGCTTAATTAGGCTAAAAGGAAGAGAAGAATGCATTTGCATTTTCTGGAGGACTGATATGCTACACTTAACTGGCAATAATGCCCTATTGTGGATTACTGTGGGTAGTGGTCAGCAAGCTCATGCTGCAAGTGTCTTACTTATACACCTAAGTTTTTGTTTTGAATATTTTTCTAGGCAAACTGCATATTCCTTAATTAGGTACTTAAAACAACAGCACGACTCATCTACATGGTACCATGCGTTTCAACACAAAATTGTAACACATGCATAGAGTATACTTACACAAATAATCATTTATGTCCCAAACCAAAGAAATCAGAAACGAAATTAGCTACTCTTCTGCTCACGATGGTCTAATAGCTATAACACTGCCATATACAGCTGTCCTGCAATTATTCTTCTCATTTTGAGTGTTATTCGTACATATTTTGTTTTGGATCCAGACAAGCACCAGGAGAAGGTGGTGAGCAGAGTATAACTTTTAGGTCAATTTAGTTCCTTGAAGATAGGGAGTAGAAAATGGGTCTTGATTAAGTGTGGAGTAGACAATGAGTGTCAAGTTAGTGGGGAATTAACTCCCTTTGGAAGATTCCTACCTTCTTGTTGAAGCTTCCTTTTAAAAACTTTTTTTAAATAAAAAAAAATAAAAACTAACTAGCTTTTACCTGATATTATACTGGACTGAAAGTACTTTTTAAAGTGCATGTTATCCTGCAGTTTTACGCTGTAACTTGCACTTTAGCTTGAATAAAGTAGACTAGTTTTTAACTGGTTTTCAACTGAATTGAAAGGTAAAACTTTCAAATGAGTCTTTTTCACCTTAAAAAAAATATCTCTTAACCTTTCTATCCTTGAAAAACCAAAGTCTACATTGCACCTATTTTAAAGGCTAAGCTCACTTTTTTTGTAATATAAGCTGACTCTCCCACTAGCTTGTTCTGTATTGTGTGGAACATTATTACTGGGATTTTCCTTTCTTTTCTGCTCCAAAATTGGGATTCAGTCTAGTTTTCCTAGTTACTGTGTTTATCTGTTCACTGTGGCCCCTCAACCCTCCCTATACCATAGAGCAGGGGTAGGCAACCTAAGGCCCAGGGGCCAGATGCGGCCCAATCGCCTCCTCAATCCAGCCTGTGGATGGCCTGGGAATCAGCATGTTTTTACATGAGTAGAATGTGTGCTTTTATTTAAAATGCATCTCTGGGTTATTTGTGGGGCATAGGAATTCATTCATTCCCCCCTCCCCCCAAAAATATAGTCCAGCGCACCACATGGTCTGAGGGATGGTGGACCGGCCCACGGCTGAAAAAGGTTGATGACCCCTGCCATAGAGAAATACAGCATGCACCTTTTCATCATTCTTTCATAATTATTGTTTTCACTCTACTTGGCCACAGGGTGTTAGGGGAGGGGTAGTACCATAGGTGGGGGACATACCATGCTCCTTCTGAGGTAGTTTGTTCACCTTTGGTCCCCACTCTGCACTCAGCTATCACCTGTGACTCCTACAAGCTGTCAGCATGTGACAGCGGCCACACCCCCAGGAAACAACTTTGATTGGTCATCTAATCCAGGTGAGAACAGCCAATGGGTCTCAAACTCTCAGTGAGGGACTTCCCCTGCATGCAAAGATTGGTCTTGTCCATTCAATATGCCAGAGCCTTTCTTCGGTCTAACAGTCAATAAGGTGGTTAGTGCATGTGCTGTAGAGGGAAGTGAGGGGCAGATGGGGCTCATCAACCTGGGAAGGTAACCCATCTACAAGGAAAACTCTGACCTAAACCTCTGCTATCTTGCAGCTCTACTCATTCATGAGAAAGGTTTTGGGAGTAAAACCTGAGGAAAAAAATTGTACCCACTGCATTTCAGGACATCTTTGGGAGAAGAAAAAGCTAAGGAGGAAACCCTACACAAATCATGAGTGGAGCTCCTAAGGCATTTGTATGGTGTTTTGTACGCCTCCTTCCGAAAACTCCTGCAGCCAAACTGGTGCCAGGTGTATGGCTGTGCCTTCCTTTAGGCCACATCAGCAAGGCTGAGATTGGGGCCTTGTCGTCTGGGTATGCCAGGACTTCCATACACACTGCTCAGGCTTGTGCCCTGGAGAGGTCACTTCATTGTTGCTAACACAGCAAACAATGTGGGAGGCAGCAGTTACCTACAAGTTACCAGTCTGCAGCTACAGCAGGCGCTATGATTCCCCAGTGGTTTGCTTTCACCACTGGAGACACATTCCATTGTCTCTGAAGACAGACAGATACCAACATGGCCTGGACTCTTCAAGAACCATGGCTACACAGCAGGCAAACCATTTTCAACTTTCCTCCTGAGTTTGCAGTTGGGATGGTGGAAGAGATCAATGACACCAGCCCAATTATGCAGCTTTGGAGTTGGGAGGAAGGAAAGCCGCTTATCACATTTGCCAGAGAGCAGTAACATACTAAACATGCTAAGTGTATTGTTGAAGCCTGGATAGTTTTAGTGGCCACCAGTTTGAAGATTGGGAAGAAATACAATATTGCAGCAACTTGCTACTTAATCACTGATAGCAACGTTATAATCTCACTCCTTACTCAAATTGGAAAGAAGATCTTAAAATTCAAACATAGCATCATGCATTGTCTACAAGGGCAACATCCCCCTTACACTGTCAATCTTTTAAGTAACTGGCTTACTTCAAATAATAGGCTCTATTCGTTCCTACAAGGACTATTATTATCATTCCCACAATGCCGTAAGTGTGAATGGCACTTTACCGAGAGATTAGTCATTTTATAAGTTTTCCTTAGAAATGCAACTACAATAATGAACCAAACATAGCTATTAAGCTTTATAAATGTCTCTGTCATTTCTAGAAACCACAGATTTTATCCACATAATTTGACTTAATAGAAAATATGAAAAATCATTTTAAATGCACAAATACTTCAGCCTTTCTTCTATATGTGCATATGACCTTTCAAGCATTTGTTACAGAAGTATAAGTGGTCAATGTATTCCAGAACTAATTTCGGCATTAAGAAAAAAAAATCCAATATAAATATATTCTAGAAAAGAGGAAAATTATAGTACAGCCCTGATAAATGACTTAAATTATAAAAATCATAAACTGCTATTGAAACTAATTCAAACATACCATATACATGAATTAATTCACTTTCAAAAACTCTAGTGGAGATTTTACAGTTTAAACTGCTAATGAATTTTTGTAAGTGTAAGAAATTTCAAAATATTTGTTTTGGAAGCACTGGCATTGTGTATAATGTATATGATGATATACATACTGAAAGGATATTTAAAACTATAGATTGTGTGCCAGTCTTGTAAAATTAATGCTATGTGTGTCACCACTGATTCCCAGAAGGGTCAAGATATTATCTAGGATGAGAAAGGGCAGGTTAGACTATCAGATAACTGAAGACCTCATCATGCTAATATTTCTTCATAACTGCATTCTATGACTGATAGTGCAGACATCCAACAATCTCATGTTGCCATTCTTGATTACAGTGGTTCTGTAAAGCCACAGGATTCAAGTATCTCAGCTTCGGGTTGCAATCCTGTATTAACTTATCTGGTAATATGTCTCACTGAGAGAGCTCACTTTTGACAGAAAAATATAGGATTGTGCTGTCATTTTAAATTTTAATTAAAGATACTTAGTGCCAGTTTGCATTTGACCCTACCACGTTAAACAAGAAAAGTAGAACCATATACTTCAGTTGAGAGCCTACTTTTAATGATTTCTGGTTGTTTCTATACAAGACTGCTTCAGCAGTGCTCAGGCCCTGCTCTTCAGCAGTCTGGTAGAAGAGGAATTAAAACACCTCTGCAGCAGTTTCCTTGCATGCTTTTGTGTTTATTTCTTTATGTATATTATTTAAACCACTGTCTTATATTCCACCAAGATTAATTTTCAAAATTTGGTTAACAAAGCTAGCAACACTTAAACACTCAAAACTATCTTTAAAATCAGCATTAAAATTCCCTGACCATCATTCTTTCTGGCAGAAGGATGATCCAGGCTCATGGACTTCCATGAAGCTTCTTGTTTTGCCTTAGAATTGAGTAAATGGCTCATTTTAGCTACTCTGGTCTGTCTCCTTAAGGAATTCTACCTATACAATCATATGCATGTTTATGAGGAAATAAGTCTCATTATTATTATTATTATTATTATTATTTATTATTATTATTTAAATTTCCTACCCATCTTCTAAAAGGAGAAATGACGTAATGTGTGACTTTCTTCTGAGAGGAAGGGACACCTGCTCTTCACTATGCTGGGATAGCTCAGTTGGTAAAGCATGATACTCTTAATCACAGAGTCATGGGTTCAAGCACCGCGTTGGACAAAAAACTCCTGCACTGCAGGGGGTTGAACTAGATTACCGTATTTTTCGCTCTATAAGACGCACTCCCCCCTCCTAAAAAGTAAGGGGAAATGTGTGTGCGTCTTATGGAGTGAATGCAGGCTACGCAGCTATCGCTGAAGCCAGAAGAGCAAGAAGGATCAGTGCACACCGATCCCTCTTGCTCTCCTGGCTTCAGGGATAGCCACGCAAAGTCTCTTGAGCGCAGCCGGAACACTCCTGCATCTTCGCCCAAGAGGCTTTGCGTTGCTTTCTTGTTTCTTGTTTTCCTCCTCTAAACACTAGGTGCGTCTTATGGTTGGATGCATCTTATAGAGCGAAAAATACGGTACCCATGTGGTCCCGCCCAACTCTACAATTCTATGACTTTAACTGATAAAACACCAGTAAAACATATTTAAAACAATTAAAACCATTTAAGACATGTAAAATAATCACCTACTCTCAAAGCTGATAATTTCAAGTTTGACAGGAACAGTATCTTTCTGCCATCCAATGCTAGGATAAATGGAAATGTTTGAAATTGCCTCCTGAAAGTTAATAATGAGAGAGACAAAGCAGCCTCATCAGGGAGGACATTCCACAAATGAGGAACCACTACTGAGCAATATTTGTCACGGGTCGGTACTAACCAGGCATAATCTAGGTAGCAGCAACAGGGGCTCACTTGCAAATTGTAGGGCCTGACATGGTTGATCTTGGGAAAGGCATTCCTTTACCTACTTGGATCCCAAGCCATTTATGGATCCATATGCCGGTACTAATACCTTGGATTGAGCCTGGTAGCTTATTGGCAGCCAATGCAGTGTTTTCAGACTGATGAAACATGGTGCCATCAGGCTTCCCCACTTACCAACCCAGTACACTGGTTGTAGCCTCCAGACTATCTTCAAAAGTGGTCCTTGAATGCATAGCATGTTACAGTTGTTCAGGGAGGACGTGACTAAAGTTTGAGACATGGTTAGCCAAGTCTAGGAATGATCATAGCTGGTGAAGCAGCCCAAGCTGGGTGTTTGCACTTCTAGTCACAGAAGCTACTTTATTTATTTATTTATTTCAACAATTTGTATACTATTTAATCATAGTAAACTCTAAGCAGCATACAAGAGACACAATACAATACGACTCCAAATAAGTTAAAACTATAAAGTCAGAGTTCAATTGAAAAGCCTCCTGGAATAAAAAAAATTTTAAGTATTCAGTAAGCTGTGGGAGTTCAACAGGAAGGGGGGCTGTCTGACCCCAGCTGGAAGGGAGTTCCACAAAATTGGGCCCACTATACTGAACACATGGCTACTTGTGAATATTCCCTTTGGAGTCACTCCTTTAGGGTTGCCACCCTCTGAATGGTGATCCTCTGCCCATGGCTAGCTCCTTTTTAATGTCTCCCAATACAGCTAGCTATCAATCACTGGGAGCTAGGACCTGATGTTTCCATTCCTCATTCAAACATGCCTTTACAATTCTATCTCCCTCCTCTAGCACAGCTCTTTCGCTTTCTCTCACAAAGTCTAGGCACCAATGGCTGCTTCTCAGAAGAATGGCACATATTCCTTGCTATAGCCTCTCCTCTGTTTGGACTAAGTCTAATGGGTCTGCTACATGCTGCTTCTTCTTCTGAGGCTTATGTTCAGGTCTTACTCCCATATAAGTGTGCATAGGATGATAAATAGTCTGTGTTCAGTCCTCATCTCCCAACAGACCACTGTGTGAAACCTACTTCTCCCAGTTTAAGAAAAGTTGCCAGTGAAGGCATAGGTAATTTTTTTTTAAAGGATCTAATTATATGTTTCATCAAGTTAAATCTATAAAAAGGTGAATATCCTTGTGGACATTTTGAGACTGAAGCAGGTATTATTGATAGAAAATAACTTTGATATTCAGAAGGGCAGACCACTTGATAATATAGCAGTCTCTTCTGACCTAAAAACTGCTTAATTGAAAGCAGAGATTGACTTTTCAATTGGTTGGTTTTTACCAGTTCGAATTTACCCTAAGGTTAACCCCTCCCTTTTCTTCCTTTCTTTTTCACAAAACTTGCCATAACATCTTCAGGAGTTTTGAGCTTTATTTATTCCACATTTTAAAAACCCCCAAACACTTACAAAGGAATGTAATGCGCCTTAAAAATCTGTTGCATGAATTGCCTGACCCCAGAACTAAAGGCAAAGGTGTTAATCTGCTCATCAGAACAGCCTCACTTCCTGCAGCGCTTTTATAATAGACAATAGAACAAAACCTAACAAATGACCAGAAGAAACCTTAATAGGCTCACGAGTTCATAGTAAAAGGGAATACGGCTAAAGGCTATAGAATGATCTTGTTCCCTATAACGTTGCAGACTTATAGAAAACACTTCAAATAAGATAATATGAGGCTTCAAAGAGGATTAGAAAATTTGTTATTACATTTATAACATGAATGGATAAAGTCCAAGTAAAAATACAATACCACTGATTAGGAACTTTATTAAGGGAAATGGCAAAAACATTACGCATTTCAGTTACATAAACATTCACCCTGGAAGATACACAAAAGCACACACAATGCCTGTCCTGCTAAATGACCTAAAATTATTGAATCTAAATATTAAAGAGATGTGAGTGCTGGAGAAAAGACCTTGTTTGGCCACTTGTGGACCACAGACATTGTCTTTCTTATCTGCACAGAGTAAAGCTGTTTGATCATTATAATTCAAGAGTGGGGAACTGGATCCAGCCAGTGGACCAAGTCCTTAACTCCACATCTGCCACAGTCAAAATTTGGCAGGTGAGTGGGGCTGTCCACCTGTCAATCACCCAGCACAATGGCAACAGGTAATATGGTATTTTAAGCATTGATAATCAGCTGATTGTTGAGACTTCAAGACACCATGTTATACTGCCAGGTGAGTGGCATATGGATGTGGCTTGGCCAAAATGGCCTGGCAGGCCAAATGGGAAGCCTGGGAGACCTCATTAGTCCCAAGAGCCAGAGGTTCTCCACATGACAAGTCTATGTCTACTCACAGCACAGAACTGGAAAGGACTTGAACATCTACACGTCACTCAATGGAGACAGAATGTATGGACAATTGCCTTATCTGAACAACTGACAAAAAGGACGCATGCCTTGAACAATATATCTGATGTGGACAATTTTATCAAAATATGGTACCCCTTTATAAAATATTTGAACAAGCACTCTGATGACTGGCACTAATGAAGGCTTATGACAAAATCTGATACAGTACATTAAACTTCTGTTCCAGCGAGTGAAATTGGGGGAAGCTTAATGCTTTGTTCATATTTTGCTGGGGAAAAAAATTATTTAAAAAGAAAGACAAGTCTATATGTACAACACTTTATCATAACTACGTATGTCAAACTACCACAAGTATATACAACCACTAAGACACATTTCACAAACTTAGTAAGCATTTTATACATATAACAATCATATTGAAGTTACATGTTTCAAACACAAGGCTTCCACAAAAGTGAAGCAACAGCCAACTGTCCTTTATTTATGATTAACACAAGACATTTCTCTTTTATTTTCTTATTTTCACCCATACTGTTTAAACTGTTCACAAACACAGAACTCTACTTTAATTAAAATATGACGCAGCAAAAAATTGCACCTGGCACATATTCAATGCAATTCAATTTTCAATTCAAATTGTAATACAAAATATACAACAAAATCCAGTTCACTGGCTAACCGAGCTGCAGGTAGTTTGGTTAACTACAACCACGTTTACTATACCAAACTGATTTCAACTTCCTGCTGATGGCAACAAAACTGCAATACAATTTTGTATTTTTAGTATTTTATTTATTTGTTTCTTCTTCTATAACTAAAATAACAGCTAATCACAATCTGTAGCCATTTCCAAAAAGAAACATGTCATTTGAAGTGATGCATATTATCATATAATACCTGCAGATTATGTTTTATGCAGTACCAAAGTTGTGTCACTTGAATAAAATTTTAACTTTTATTTCAATAGTTTCACTAATGCCAGCCCACTGAGCCAGTGCTTTATCTTTCTGTTTTCCAGAATAAAAGTAAAAGGTAAAGGGACCCCTGACCATTAGGTCCAGTCGTGACCGACTCTGGGGTTGCGGCGCTCATCTCGCTTTATTGGCCGAGGGTGTCAGCATACAGCTTCCAGGTCATGTGGCCAGCATGACTAAGCCACTTCTGGCGAACCAGAGCAGCGCACGGAAACGTCGTTTACCTTCCTGCCGGAGCGGTACCTATTTATCTACTTGTGCTTGATGTGCTTTCAAACTGCTAGGTTGGCAGGAGCAGGGACCGAGCAATGGGAGCTCACCCCATTGCGGGGATTCAAACCGCCGATCTTCTGATCAGCAAGTCCTAGGCTCTGTGGTTTAACCCACAGCGCCACCTGTGTCCCATTTTCCAGAATACTGCACAGCAATAGTAATTTTGTGGGTTTTATGGTCAGGGGCAGCAAGGCCACAAAGATAGATAGATATATATATAGATATATATATACTGTGTGTGTGTGTGTGTGTGTGTGTGTGTGTGTGTATAACACAGGGGGGGAAAGGCATGAAGCTTCATCACTCACAAATGACGTCAAGGTCCTATTGTCCAAAGAGAGGGAAATAACTAAGCCAGCCCCACCATGTGCAGTGCTCCACATGCTTCACTTTCTTAAAGATCAAGATCTCTCTGGGGGCTCATGCCATAAGGACACAGAGACCATGTGTGCAGAAAAGTATCATACATACATGCAGAGGGTTTTCTGGAACCCTGTCAATAAATCTCTCCCTGCTCCTTCTTCTTAAAGGTTAAAATAATTCAGTATCTTCCTGAGTTTGTATCTGATTGAACTGGGGCAGGAGGCACATTTGCTCTTTCAGCTTCATTTCATTAAAAAAAAAAAGTGAATTCAAGAGAATGCATTATTTTTAAACTGTTAATGGAAAATGTAAATAGATAAAATCTTAACATAATTCATATAGAAAACAGTGGTTGAATTTGAATATTAATTTCCTACCATGGAATCCTAGCCATGTCTACTCAGAAGTACTATTGGATTCAATGGGTCTTATTTCTAGTTAACTACTGTTAACTTACTCATAAAAAATGAGCAAGATATAAGTGAAGCTAAAATAATCAAACTGGTTATTTTAGACACAGAAATTTAGAGGTTTACTTTTTATTCTCCCTTCTTATGCATAGCCATAATTGATTGAGTACCATCAAATAGTCCTACATTAAAGAAACTTCTTGTATGATACAATAACAAATGAAAACGGTGTCAACAAATCACTTGCCTGATTACCAACTCTTATTTACAATAAAAACTATTCACTAAAAATAGGCACAAAAATTAACTTCCACTCAGAAGCAAACTTCAGTTTAAATTGCAGCAATTACATCTTTAGCTCTCCTATTTATGTAGTGCACTGATACTTGCTCACTTGAAAAGGTGGTATGTACACGTTAAATATGAAGCATAGACTATGTCACTGGTTTCTGCAAATGATTTGTTACTTATTCAGATCAGTTAAAAAAACACCACAGCAACTCCCTCCCTCCCCCCAAGCCACTTCTGCAAAGGAGGAATAACAGCAATTTGCACTTTTACAATGGAGTTATGAAATGTTGGTCTGTCACATGTCTGTGCTATCAGGGTTAATTCTAGTTAACTATCCTTTACCTTGTCAGCTCCTAAATTGTGGAGATTGCTTAAATTTTCATATCAGCTTTGTAAGAAGTGCAGCTGAGTATTGATCTTGGAGGAGGAATATCAGTTTACTGAAGGCAGCTTAATTGCTTTTTGAAGGCCATTGCATTGCTGTAGGGAATAAGCTGGTTTTCTTAAACTGTCCTCTACTACATTTCTATTGGGAAACATAGCTCAATTGCTGAGTACATGCTTTGCATCCAGACAGTTCCAGCCTCAATCCCTGACACCTGGCAAAGACCCATATCCGAAACCAGGGAGAGCCACTGCTCAGCAGTGGACAATACAGAGTCACGTGGAACAATGATCTGACTTTGCCCAAGGCAGCTTCTGACACCTTTACATAAAGCATAGCAATTCACTAGGTGACGGCAATGTTTGATGCTACCATGCCTTTCTATTTTTAATCATGCAATATGATACTATTGTACAACATTATCATGACATTATTATATCCTGCTTTAACAAACACCTTGATTAAACATCTTGGTTTAACCTCTGTGTATATATTTAATTAAACCCCCACTTCACCTCTGTATTTTTTACATCATGAAAACACTGCACAATTTAAATGTTCTGTTCTGTTGACACATCTTATTTACATGGCAGCTAATAAATCTCTTCTCTCAATGCCCCTGCATATATTATGAACTCGCTCAACTATTAGTGCCAACATTTCAGAGATGATGGCACTAAATATTTTCCTCTAGGCATAATATCATCAGACACATCAAGGGTTTCAATGTATCCCTAAAAAGGCAGCTTCTGAGATAAAAAGACTCATTTGTTTGCTTAAATCAAAAGTTGTAGTGGATTAACTAAACTTTGAAATAAAATGGCGTGTAGTGGTAAACAAATCAGATCTGCACTCAATCCACATGACTATATCTGCACAGTCAGTAGCAATGTTCATGTGTTTTATGCACAGTTGCTTTCTTCCACCTCTTCTGTGCTGCAAGCCAACCTATTTTTAGAGCAGGTGGAGTTGGAGAGTGCTGTTCAAGGAGAAATCAAAGGTCCCACTAGGCATCTGCCACGTTTGTTTGCTGTAGTAGAAACACCACATTATGGCACTTAAAGACTAACCACTACATTGTTGTATGAGTCTGGATCCAGATACTTAGGTGATTTGGTGATTTAAGTGAACTTTGACCAATGAAACCTTATGCTAAAATATATGTGCTAGACTTTACTGTGCCATTCACATCTCCAAACCCCAGCCAGGCATTCTTAAAGTGTATTTTTTATATTTGTTTGTTACAACTCTAGTGTGGGACACACATTTCTATGCATTTCTGAAACCAAATTTCCCTGGTTCAGGAGTGAGCAACACAATGATGGTAGGTGAATTACTCTAGTCTTGTGTCTGGGAAGCTCTATCCTCTACAGCCCTGGCAGTACTGGGCCTGAGGACAGGCTGCTGTCAGGCTGGCAGAGCTAGCCCAGATACATTTAATCAAAGACACAGGCATAGCACATGAGAAACTTTGAGAAATTAAGTCTAGATAGCAGAATGCCCTCATTAGGCACCTGGGAGGGAGAAACTGATATGAGCATAGAGCTGTTCCAGAAAAAAACAGGTTTTATTGCTAAAGTTAAAAAAGGCACACTGTAAGGCAAATTACTGAAGGCTTGTCCCAGAAGAGAGAGGAAGGGAGAAAAAGATATGGACAAAGAGAAAGATGAGGTGGCTACAAGCCAAGAGTAGACATGCTGTGATGCTTCAATGTAAGTGGGGAAAAGGGAAGGGAAAGTGGTATAAACTGGAAAGTGAATAGAAAGAGAGAAGAAATAATAGGAATAGAAGAAGAGCGAGAGATTTTAATCATGTTTAACATGTTACCTAGTTGCCATAGGCAACTAGGGATTTCATCCAGGTGAGTGAGTGGGAAGGATGGAAGAGGAAGGTCATCACTGATCTAGGAGTCCAACAACTTTGCTTTCAAAAAACAAAAAAACACAGTGGAAAATGAAAGGGAAATTTCAAGGTGAACAAAAGGTAGAGGTTGCCCGTAATTTTCTGAATAGAGTGATACATGACTCTTGGTTGGTCTGTTTTGGTACTAACTGGAAGGTTATGTAAGTGCTTAGGGCTCTCGGTAGTAACCGATAAGCAATTGGGTGTTGCCTTGATTGGTTTAGAAAACTGGGGACTTCTTAGCCAAGGCATCAAGGCGAAGATGCTCATTTGCCCTTATCACCAAAAAGTGGGAACTAGTCCTTCAAACAGACGATAACTTGGTTCAGACAATGCAGACAACATGGCAATTATGAGCAAAGGTGGTAGCATAGGGACAAAATGTAGATGAGCTGGTATTTTATTGTAACTTTAAAAAAAAACAAAAACAAACACCTGAAACTACATAGCACCAAGCAGCTGATGGGTGCTGAGAAACATAGCTTTGAAGTCTGTTTGAAAATGGTTTCAACACAGACTGCTTGCAAACTTCAAAGTGATGGCAGCCACACCTTTACCAGCCTCATACCTCAACATGATACACAGGACAAGAAGTCGCTGTAATGGCCATGAGAATCAATAGGACAGATGTGTATGACCTTATCTGAGCAGAAAATTTAAAATAAATTTGTTAACTGCTTAAGTTAAAAGTAATTTGGTAGTCCAAAGCTTTGTTTCCATTACAAGACAGATATTTTGTGAGCATTCTAGAAATGAAGACTAATAATTTATATATATATATATATATATATATATATATATATATATATATATATAAAATCCAACCACAGAATATGATTTGAAACATAATCTCCATTAAATGTGAGTTCACTGGACTTTACACACTACAGTAAAATAATTGCATTCAGTTGTACTTGCACTCTCTCTTATGGGACTTCCTGTTGTATCCAGGATTGCTACCCAAGTGTCCTGGTGTTTACAGTTAGACAAGGGAAAAGATATAAAGTGAAGAGGAAAGAGGATTTTAGCAAAGTTGTCAAGTTTTATATATGTCTACCATAATAGCTTATGCTAGCTTGGCTGTTGCTTTCCATTTAAATCAGATTGGTAGAGGAAATCTACCCCCCTTACCCCTTATATTTATTATTTCCACAAAACAGATTTAAATACAGACTTAGAAAAGAAAAAAGGGGATCAACATTTAAGTATTATAGATTTTTTCAAATGTAAACAGCTCTGATGACTTAGTTATCAAAGCACTGAAAAGAAAAACAAATCCATGTGCCATACACTGCTTTTCTGTAATTTACATTAGGGTAAACTTTAAAAAACCAGTTTCATAGTACAATAAATAATGAGAATACTATTTGGTTGAGTATGTACAAAGATTAAATTATCTATCATTAAATACTAGTAAGTAAAGCACATATTCTTGCACTAGATGTGCTTATCTATTACATACAGAACAAATATAAAAGAAGAATCAGAGAATTGAATACCACCCTAAGGACAATCCTGCTTCTGGTAATAACTTAGAGATACAAAATGAGCTCATTCATATGAATATAGTGCTTGCACCAATTCTAGTATAAGAAGTAGTGAGTGATTCAACATCAGTACCATTCTAAGAATGCTTTCCAGATAATCCATCCAAATTTTATCTCATGTAAATTGAATTCTGTCAGTCGAATTTACTTAGGAAAAAAATATATACCAATAGAATTCTACTTAAGAGAAATATCTACTGTTGATAACACTGGAACATTCACATTTTAAATATAAATTGTGGGGAGGATGGCATGGGCAAGTCTGTTACAAGCTGGGCCTAAACGTCAATGGAGTTCAGGGTTTAGTTCAGTTCTGGGATCAGAAGACAAACTCTCAGTTTGCCTTTACAAGTCACCTGATTATAAATTTTATAATTACCTTTAAGACAGTCCCCTTCCCAATTCTCAAGAGAAAAACAAACTAGCTTTATGTGATCTGGATGATAACTACTCTTTAACTTTGTGAAATAATTTGAAGGCTTTTTACCATGTTTCTTTCAAGAATACAAGCAACTTGCCTGATCTATCCATCTCCCCATCGGTTACCCACCTACACATGAAGAATTTTATGCAACTAAGGCATACATTAGGGACTTACTGGACCATCCCTCATGGATTTTTTTTAGTTTTAAAATTATTTTTGACTAAATGTAAGGCCCTTTCCTTCTACAAAAGCCTTTCCCCTCCTTTTAAATGTCTTTCTCAAAAAATGCATCAACATTCTGTAGGTTATTAATAAATAAGGTAAGTGCCTTAAGTGAGAATCTTAATTTAACATTCACTATCTACTCTGAGACTATAATGCTCAATTAATTAAGAAGAGAAATATATATACGCTGAAAAAGATATATACTGTTACTCATTTATTCCTTGAAAATACATCTAGTTTAACACTAAAATAAAATTTCAGAAGGCTAAGAATGCAATTTGGACAAAGATCTATAATGGCCTCATTCACACAATATGGTAAGTCAACCTATGGCTTACTGGGATGGCACTCTGCGTCTTCCTGGTCCTTTTGCTCCAGTACTGCACTGAGCTAAGCCAAGGTTTGGCATACTGTGTCATCTGAAATGGGTTAAGCTCAATCATCACTAACCATGAGCTGTAAACTATATGCTTCCAATGTTTGTGATTGTGTATCTCATAGGAAGCTGCATTCCATGTGCAGGAAATAAAGCTGAACCATGTTCTATAAAACTTGCCATATTTTGTGTCATTTCTTCAGTCTAATATTTTCTAAATTGGCTGGCGACAGGTATCCAAGAGGAATATTTCCCAGTCCTACCTGAAGAACTCAGGGAAATAACCTGGGAGTTTTACATGCAATATATGTGGTCTACTACAACGTTACAACTCCATCTCAGGTTTTAATTCCACAGACATACTCACAGTATTTGTGTTTCTTATAGTAAGCACTTTTATAGTTATCATAATTTTTCAACTGAAAATATGCAGAAATGTGTGTTTTATTTATCTGTTCTCTGTATTTTCTGCATTTTCTGAATTTGCTTCATGACCTTTGCTTTATTTAGAACACATTCTATTTCCAAAATTTATTTGAATTTTAAAGATGATTCCAGTGTTAAAAGAGCTAGAAAGAGTCTTTAGTAGTTTTTTCACAGTCAGAACTGAAAGTGAAGGGTACTTTATTCAGGGTCAGCTGCCTACCTACATCTTTAAGGAAAACCTTTCCTGTTTAAAACATCTCCCTTTTACTCTCAGGAGCTTTCAACATTATGGCAAGTCAGCAGAAAGTGGATCTGCCAGAGATTTGTGCATCTAGTTTTCATGCTTCCAGTATAATATCCAGGAAAGGCATTCTCACATTTTATCACACGAGGAGATACACACATTCTTACCTCAGATTGAAACCCAACATGAGACCCACTTTCCTTCTTTTAACATACTGTATAACCAAAGCCCTTCTTAAAGTAAGACCTTCATCCTACATTTTATAAAGTAGATTGAGCAAATGTTAGTGTTTGTGTTATGGTTGGATTAAATAAGATACCTAAAAACTAAAATAATGGTTTCCAAATATCACATTTAAAAACCATACTAGAAAAAAAGTCATCTTGTTACTATGCAATACCAACCCACTCCATTACAAACACTTTATTACAGTTATTGTAGATTGTGCATTGCAGGAACTGCTGAGCTCATGTATGAAAATATTAAACAGCAACCCCCCAAAATATTCCCAAGTTTTTCCAAAGCATTCACTTTCCTGTATACCATGTGTGTGTGTCCAGAACTGCTATCACAGTGCTCTATCATGAAAAGAAGAAACAATGTGAATTTGAAAATCCAGCTTGATTGGTTCTTGCACACTCTGGGTTCCAATACACAGATGTCACTTTTTTGGCACTAGATATATACCACATCGGACAGCATTTGCAGTTCTAATTATAGTTGTTTAGATGGGAACCAATCGAGAGATCATCATATATAACAATTGTGCTTACTGCTATACTATAAAAAAATCCCCTCACAAGAGGTGGTTAGCTGATATGATCAGTATGCAGTAGATGTGCCATTTAAATGGCTCAGCCTTGCTAGGTTAGAGGAACTTGAATGTATATTTTCATTTTGCAGTGGTCAGAAATTATGGCTGGGCTTATCCCTCCCTTGTGTTGTCTTTGACATCAGACATTCGACACCAGCATGATAGGAACAACCCCCTGCCCTCCATCTTAGTCCATAGCTCAGGAGGAAAAATGGAGGCTCATCCCTGTTGCACTCAGCTTCAAGATTATTACTGGAGGGGCAGATATTTGCAGAAGGGACATTTGCCAAGGCAACCATGGTGAAAAAAATTGTGGAAACTTGGTAATTTGTATGAATGTGGCTTTGTGTGCACTTCATAATTATGAAGTTTTATACTGGAGAACATGAGCCAAGTCTGAGTCAATGTCATATAAACAGAAAATTAAAGGTTGCTTCATGCTGACAAACGTCCCTGTTCTCTTGTACTGCCCTGATAGAGATTACAGTATTTCATCTACCCATCGACTTGCTGCCTAACTGCTGAGGTCAAGGATTCTCTTGCAAGAGCTTCCTCTATCTTAATTCTCAAAGGATACAGAGAAATAGGTCATCCACAGCAGTACACTGCAATATGCTAATTCAGTATGCTAAATTCTGTCAGTTGTATCAAATGTTGCAGGCAATGTAATGCCTTCGAATAATTAATTGCTGATGTTAATACATATATTAATCTAGCTGGGTATATGTTTTGAATACATGCAGGACTTGTATTGTAATTTTGTCAAAGGAACACTGTCTTCCTCTAAAATTCTATCACTAGGGCTGAATCAGAAGGGTTGTGGTCTGCTTTCCTACTGGTCACCTATTCTTCCAAGAACATCCAGTTTTCTAGCTCAATTAGTTTTACCTGAATCAATATGACACTAACCAATATTTCCAGTAGCTGGATGTTACTTTTAAGCTGCATAAAAAGGAAATACAGCTGCATTGGTCCATAAGAGCCAATATTAAAATCCACAACTGGGCTATATGCATATTAAGATCCACCCAAAATATAGTTTCCCAGAACTCTTCATCAGGCTAAATGGTACACAAAGCAGGGGATGAGATGGATGAGGAATCAAAAACAAAGAAGTACAAATATTAGGTTGGATATTGTAGTCATGAGGTCTGCATTTAAATGCAGTCTTAAGATGGAGATTGCAAACAATAAACTAGTCCCTGTTAGGTGCTACAGTTATCAGGTCACCCATAGAATTATGGGATAAGGAAACAATGGCGTCTCCATTTTTTGAAAATATAAAGTCCAGCTGTTACTGAGATCTGTCTCACACCTTAAGCAAAACACATGGGTTCCTCATTCTATCACTTTCTAGTCTTCTGTCATTCCTGTCATTCACATTTTTAGCTAGTCTCTTTTGCTTTTTAATACCACAGTCAAAGTGTCTTGTTTATTTTATGCCTTATATTCAGTTTTGAGTATATGAAATAATTTTATCTAACAAGGAAGTATTGCTGCTATAGTCTAAAAGTACAGATACGCTTATTGCTCACAGACCTCTACATAGCTTTAATGCAGACACATGCAAAGGAGGAAGTAATTTCATGCACCGGACAGAAGATATATTAATTAAGATAAGCTTATAAATGTCAACTGTGGTTCTGTTTCCTAACCTTTTCCCTCTCACCTCCCTAGTAATCTCAAATAGGAAGAATTATAATTAACCCCAACATATGCTCATTGAGCTTTTAACCCAAGAACATGTACAACACACTTTGTTCCCCAGTTTAGAAAGGCACTGGAAACAACTTATAAGATCTATGTTCATATTATTTGCAGTGGATCTAATTTCAAACACAACTACATTAATCACCATTTTAAATGGTAACCTTTTAGCTTGTCACTGTGGAATTTGTGATGAAACATGAATGAAGACAGCACAAAATGTTGACAAGATATCTAGGACACATGTTGACTGATCTATCCCCATCCTCATTATTGCCAGTTCTCACAGGGCAATTTCTACAATGGGATAAAAGGCTGTAAGCAATGATATTTAATGAGAGAGGCATGGTTGGGAGATTTACAGTGCTTAAACCCTGCCCACCAGGGAATCAAAAAACAACAACCACCTCACTGAAGAACATGTTCTTCAGTTCTGCTGGAGAAACAGAAGAACATAGAGACCATAATAAGAAAGGAGTAGAAATGTCTGGCTGCAGGGGGAAAAGCACAGTATAAAGGGCTGAGCTGCTATAGGAGGCTTCAGAACAATGGGGCACGTCTTTTACCAAGTAAATTTTAACAAAGCTGTCATTTATTTTCCTATCACATTATAGTGGTCCTGACTGCCATTTGATGGCTGAAAATATCAAACCAATATATTCTTTCCCAAATTAATAAAATGCAGATGCTAGACATCAAACCTGGTGTCACACTTATGCAAAGCATGCACTTTCCAGGACCCTGTAGCCCATGTCACAACAAGGACTTCAGAGTGTCAAGGAATGGTCAGGGAATCGTGTAGTCCCCAAGAGTAGCATCAAATTGTCAGGCTAATAAATCTTCAGATATCTTTCCTTAAAAAAATTCGTATCAAATCCCCACTTGTTATTTCAAGAAAATGTATCTTTCCTAATATTTTGAAGCTATGGAAATGTAAAGTAGCCTTTTTATTACTTCACGTTAACAAATTTCCTTTCAAGCAGTTCTACCTATTTAAAAATACAGCACACAAGTGCATTGTGAGCACAGAATTTAAAGCATCTCAGTTCTATATACTTATTTTAAATTATTATAAATTGACCTATACCCAAAAATACTTTTCAGGGTGGGACACAAATATAAAACACAAGCAGCGATACAATAAAATTAAGAGGAATAAAAGCATTCAACTAACTAAAAACACCACCATCTAAAATACATGAGCAAATAAACAGGTTTTAATCTGGTACCAGATATAACAGTTTAAGTTCCAGGAGTACCACCATCAGGAGGGTATTTCACAGTTGTGGCACCATCATAGATAAGGCCTCCTTTTTTTGTAGATACGTGTGATGTACTTCTCCTAAACATGGAATTTGGACAAGGGTTGTCTCTGATATCCTGCATATATTTGGGTCTAAATTATTTGGGACCCAAATTATTTGGATCCAATTATTACTGTGATACTATGCATTAGTCTAAAGAATGGTTTAATCTGAAAGAGTTTGCATATCTCATTTATAAAGGGTCTTTCAAACACTTATTGTGGTTTATTGTGAATGTGTAGCATGTTCATGCATGCTGACTAATCACTACAAAACAGGGTAGCACAGCTCTAACCCAACACCACCAATCAGATCATTCAAATAATAACCGGTGTCCCATTTATATATATATAAAAGTACCTGTTTCTTCAGGCTGGAGGTAAGGAATAAAGCTTAAGCTTCTTCAATTCCCTCTCTCACTATTCCTCAAGGTAAGTACTGGCAGAACTGGCAGAAATCCCCTGACTTGAAAGTCATATGGAGCTGCTGTGAAGTCTTGAGGCGAATGCAGGTGAATGAGTGGGCCTGTAATCAGACTCGGGGTATTTTCCTCAGTCCAACATAATGTTTAGGCTTAGATTTGTCAGCTGAAATACCTGTTTCTTATTTAGCCATATGTTGTCTTCCTCTTCAAGTTAATAAGGAATGCTGTTCTTTTCTCCCGACCCTCCCTTTGCCTTGGACACTGTTCCCAGGGCACAGAAACAAGAGGTTGTAGGCCTATAGAGGGCAGCTGTGGGCACTGATAATCAGCAGAGTTCCCTGTGGTGATGACTACAATTCCCATGATGCTTCTGTTAAAGCCAAAGCTATCTCTTGGCATTTTAGGCCAAGCTGGAAGTTAAGCAGTAGGAGGTGAGCAGCAAGGCATATAAATAATCTCCCTCTAGTTTAAATAGGCTTTGGCTGCCTGCTCTGTCATGGTTGTCAATGTTAATGTTCTGAGACACGGTCCACACGTAATATATAATTTTCTTCCAGTGTTACAATGAACACATTGACATGATCAAATTTGGCTTAATAAATCAGGATATGCATGAGCTCTTACTTTGCTACTCACTTCACATGAGTGGAGAAGCAAACCACGATGCTGCAGTTACGTATAGCTTACTGTTAGGTGTGAATCAGGAAACTATGGTTAATGGTTTCTAAACAAGCTAAGATATGAAACCATGATTTAAAGTTGGCTTTCACTTCCTGGGTGTTTGCAGGCCATTATCCACAGTTCCTGGTTTGCACAAAATGGTTGACTGCAGCTTCCTAGCTTGTTTTCCCACTCAAATGTAGTATCTGCATATGATGCTCTGTGGGAGCACAAAATTTGGCACTCCGAAATGGATCGTCTAAATTATGTCTTCTCAATTTTGCACCTCCTCGACTTGGCACCCTGTGTGAGGGATCCACCCATACCGTCCTAAATATGAGTTTCTGTGTACTCTGACATATTAAACAAGGATTTGATCATGTGAACTAAGTCAGCATGTTATTTGTGTTATAGCTCTTCAGGTAGAAACCCTCTCTCCCCCCTTATGCTCAATTTTCTATTCCCTACTCCCCCTGCTCCATTTTCCTACAACCTACATCCTAGCGACAAATGTTTGTTACTTGCTTCATTTAAAATTCCACTGTTTTCTAGATCCAGGGTTAAAGAGACATTTGTTATACAATTATACCCCTATAACTTATTTCTTTTGGTTATTCCATGACCCAAACACCCATTCCTGATAAAATGGAGAAGGTGAGAAAGCATGGCTGGAGCTAAAAAAGCTTGCTGTTGATTGTGTGGATCTGTGGATTGTGTGGATCTGTGATCACAACATTGTATATTGGATATGGATGCAAGCTACACAAACACCATGGGGCCAACACCTCAGCCTGAACACATGGGCTGAGGCCATATTACATATTACATGGCTTTGTTGAAGGGGTATGACATGGGAAGTCCTGAAGCCTTATCTGACCTCATGCAATTCAGTAGTGAGCCTGCCAGATGCCCCGATCATTCAGCTAGGTGAAAATAATCTGGTAAACTAGAAAGGCATCAACCTCACATTCGCAGCAGCACTGGACCTCAAGGCATTGTACACAATGCACCCAGTAATGACAATTCTGTGATCAGAACTGCTGGAACATGAGTCAATGAACAAGGTGATGCAGCACATGTTGGCACTCAGGACCAGATCATTTGGCATCCTGGCATCAGATTTGACAATGGGGCTCTATACAGACCCAATTTGGTGCGTTTTTGTCAGCTGGCAATGAAGTTTGGTTGCTTGATGTGTGCAGTGGCATTAGGGATTGGGGTTGCAGATGTGAGTAGTTTGGGGTCGACTCAAGTGATGGATAAAGCATTAGGTTGGATCCTGACAGAGAGTTGGGAACACCCCACCCCGGTCCAAGGAATCAGGGTATCCGTTAAAGGGATCCAAGGGGAGGTACTTTTGTCTGGCTGCCCAGACGGAGGCTGATGGGCCATAGTACAACCAAAATGGTGTTCCTTTTGAGGCATTAAAATGCAGCAGTTACTCAGTCACTGTGGAGAATCCAGATGTCTTCTGCCAAGGGTGTATTTTTATGAAAATGGTGAGCTTCCTCAGTGTTCAAAGTGCAATACATTGACACTGGGAAATTATAGTACCAACACCAGCAATAAACACTGTGGTAGAGAAAGCTCTGTAAAATGTGGTTACACAAACAGCTGGGTACCTATTGGATAGTGCCTGTAAAATCTGTGGCAACAAACACCAAGTACTTCTTTGGAGTAAAGTGCATGCAACTCTACTGGGAAAGTGAAGAGTTAATAATTGTAGGAGGGCCATCTGTCTCCCAGAGATATTGATAAGATGGTTGACTGTTCTTAGAGGCCCTAGATCTTAATTGCATTTTATATTAAAATAATTTAGTGTTATTTTAGTAATCAACAGTGTTTGTTCAAACAGGAAACTTGAGGACAACTCTACTACATCACTAGTCATATTATACAAGCATGACAGCACTTCTGTAGGGATTTTAAAAATACTGTGAATACCTGGAGCACTACTTCCCCCCTCCTCCAGCAATGTTCCATCATTTCCAGAACTCTCTCTATTTTATAAGATGTTTTATTTTGTTCTTCTTTGCAATCTCTCAGCAATCCTCCACAACACAGAGAAAGACTACCCTCCATCTATTATGTCTGGAGAACTATATATCACACTATTACAGGTCTATCCTTCAAGGCTAAAATGAGGTTGGGGCATGCTCTGACCAATTTCTGGGATAATATAGATTAAATTCTATGCTAGTCCTTTTCATTTCCAATTGACATCAACTATTGTTGCTATTCCATTAAATACTCAACTCATTCTTAAAGCTGCTCTAACCACAATGCTGAATGTGAAAGGGTGACATAAATAGAAAAGAGAGCCTGTCATTGATTTCTTCTCTTCCTTTTAGCTTTGTTGTAAGATCATCCTGGGGGAAAATTATTTGGGTAGACATGGAGCAGGACTGGTACCAGAGATGGAAAACCTTTGTTATTTTATTCTATTAATATTTACAAAATTACATGCCCTCTAATTGAATACAAGTTTGTAACTCAATCAAGGGCTTGTGCTAACATCATAAATATTGACAGAACAGTTCACACGCTTAATGAATGGTGGAAAATTCTGGGAGAATAGTGCCCACCTAAGGATAATAGTACTTTTGGGTGTGTTGCCCTATCTTCTAATGAAAACAAGGATTATTGTAGGACACACCCCGAAAAGAAAAAAAAGGATAAACAGAAAGATCAGATCAGCGTTTAAAATAAATGGGGGGGGGGGAGAGATGAGAACGGTAGGAAGGAAGGAGAATGCCTTTAAATTGATGCTGACAGAGGAAGATTACAGTTTGTGTGATGTCAGGTTTCAGATTACTATGCTCCATTTATAATTAAGGCTACTGTGAAAGCCTTTTTGACTGTAATCAAATCATAAGCAGCTGAAAGGAGTAATACCTTACAGAGAACAGCCGTTATCCACTAAACATATCTTACAATCTTGCACTGGCAAACATATCCACATTTGGAACATTAATGAAAAGTGGCATGCAGGAGCATTTACAGTGTCAAACTGTAACCTCTACTGTGCGCTATCAATTCAGTTTAGCACCCTGCAGAAGGTACTCTGGGCCTGGAAGAATTGATCCATAAGGGAATATTGAATATTAAGGAGGAAAAAGAACTATATGGACTAGCAAATTATTATTATTTCTATAATTTCACTTTGAAAGCCACATATGCATACTTACATTGCTGTTGATGATTTTAATCATGACATTTTTATTTTAGGGTTTTTTTTGCTTTCTATGCTGTGTTGGGTGTTGCTTGCAATAAAAGATTGCAACATAGAAATATGAGATACAGTACATACTTAAAAAGACATATTTTATTATCTGCTATTTGGAAGGTAATTTGGGTTAATACTAATGCTAAATACTACAATTTCTATAGGAGTTGAGACTATATTTACTCATAAACATTCCTTGTTTAAAGAAAAAAGCAAATTATGGTTATACAGCCCTTTATATAATCTTCAAATGGCCATAAAGGAATCAAGAGATTCTCCTTCTTAAATCTTGGACTCAGAACTTATTAACGTGACCTGTGTGCTCAGCCAACTGCTTATTTAACTTGATTTTAGAAATGCATTAGCTAAAGAGATGAATGAAATTTAATCCTAGCTTTATACTTCTTATTAAGATAATATGTGGATCTGTTACAAGTGTGTACTATTGTACAAGCATTTAGTAAGTACGATAAGGTTAGCACAGAAAATTTGTATGCTGTAACTATTATGTAACACAAACCAACCATTGCTTATTAAAATACTGTCACTTGGACCTCTTTCATGCTAGAAACTTTAGTTTTAATTAGTGCAGGGTAATAGGATCTAATTCAGCAGAGCTCAGCCACTCTACTCCCCATTCCCTGTAATATTTTTATGACCTCAAGTAGATTCCTTGAATTGAAATCCCATTCACACTATTGTTATACTTACACATTAAGCAGGGTAGTGTGAGTGAAATATTAGATTCTCCTGCTATAATAGTTTAATTAGTATCTGAATTCTATTATTTATGATGTTGATATAAAATACATCTGTTTATACACACTGTGTTGTAACCCCAGGATAAAATACAATATGTGACATGTGTTTGTCACTCAGGCAAGTAGGGGGAAAAAACACTTTTATAGAAGGCTAAATGGCGTATCTCAAACAATAATTTACACTGGAAAGGTTAAACTATCAAATGAAGCACCACAGTGATTAAGCATTTCCTTCCACTACATTTTGTTTTAAGACAAAAACAATTCTGCATCAGGCAGGAAAGGGCTACTTGTATAGATTCATGCTCATGACACTAGAGTTATGGGTGAATGAAGCCACTAATATCACTTTTGCACTGCAATATCCATTCAGAAGGGTCAAGTGTGAAATAAGGACACAAGACAATAATTTTCAAAATCAGGACACAAGACAATAATTTTCAAAATCAGGAGACACCTTTCCCCGAGACTTCCGAGGGGCGGCGCGAACGGCAATGGCGGTCCTCTTCTGAAAGGGAGAGGAGGCTCCGCAGAAAACGGGTCGTCCGCTACGGCGAAGCGGAGACCCACTCTGGAAAACCCCAGGCAGCAAGAGCTTGGGGTCCTGAGGCTCGGTGGGCGCCTTAAGTGACCCTCCAAACGCAGAAGGAACCTCGTAAGGGGCT